GGATAAAATTATGTGCATCCGGTATTGGGAACTGTTGGATGGAATAAATGGTCTAATGGCCTGGAAAGGAAGGGAAAGGAACAACAGGTGTCTATTCCTGAAATTTGCACAGTAAAACCTGAAGATGTCCAAAAGGCAAATTCAGCAAAAAGCATAATTCAAGGACACACCAAAATGTGATGAACACATATGCTCGGTCAAGGAGATCTAACATGGCACTTGGTCTATGATTGATACATCCCCTTCCCGCCCACTTCCAAATTCCTTACATGTTGAAAATACCACAGGTGAGAAAAAAGAAATATACCTTAAAATTCACACCTACCTTCTGAGATAAGCAATCCATGTCACTCATGTTGTCCATTCTAACTGGACTTATTTAAAAAGGAACACAGAGCTCTCTGTTTCTACCTCTCCTACCAGTGGCTCTGAAATTCACACTTTCTTATAGCATAATGGGGATGACATAGATAATGGAACTTTCCAGATGTTCTGAAAGCTCTGTTCACAGGGCTGCCCCCCCTGAGGTCATAGACTTCAGCTCCCCGAGGAGTTTCCTGGTAGAAGAGAGAAAGGGAAGCTAGATAATGAAGAGGCAGCATTGGGGTTCTGCTGGGCTTTCTGCTGTGGTTCCTAGTCCTCCTGCAACGGCTGCTCTTCCCTTCCACTGAGCGGCTTCTCTCTTGGAAATTTTCCAGGAACACTCCGCGTTCACTGTAGAGGAAAAACTGAAGCAGAGTTATGAATTAACACAGAGAAGAGGAAGGAAGCACCCCACCAAACAATCCCTCTGGTGGCTTGAACTCTTCTCTCTTCTCTTCCTTGGGTTATTTTAACACTGGAAGGGCTTGTACCCAGGCCCTGGGGCCAGTCACAAGGCTTCAGCGTCTGTTGCTAGGGAAGGAGGGGCCTCTGCTGTGCCCAGAATCAAGACTGGGCTTGACTCAGCTCTGTGTCCTGGCTTCATCCTTTGCTGGAGGCCAGCTGGCCAGCAGGAAGTACTGGTGACAGAAAGGAAGGTTTAGCATTGACCCAGAAATGCAGAGGTGACTGGCAATTAGCGGCTGTGCCTCTGGAGGCATCCAAATGCACAGAGTGGTGGTTAAATTCTTGGGCCCGAGAGTCAGACAGGTCTGGGATCAGACCCTGTCTTTCCCAGTAATTAGCTATGTGGCTTGAGCAAATTGCTTAATCTCTCCAAGTGTCCTTTATAATGTAAAATGCCAACAATGTGAGAACCTACCTCACAGGTGGATTCGAGGGTTTAATGAGACAACACCTGTAAAGCAATTTGGACACAGTAGACGGATGACCAACTTGTCCCAGTTTCCTGGGACTTCCTGGGTTTTAACACTGCAAGTCCTGCATCCTGGGGAACCCCCTCAGTCCTGGGCAAACAAGGACAGTTTGGTTACTTAACACAGTAGGCACTCTGTAAACGTGGCTAACATCATTCTCATGATAAACACAGAAACACATGCACACATACACTCATACACAGACGCTGCATTAGCTGTTGCCCAAACAAGGGAACTGGCCTGGAGCCTTCATGCTTCCATCAAGTACCTGCCCAGAACACAAACATTTCTGAGACTTACAATGAGCATTACGTAGTACCAAGTACTTCCGTTTCTCTTACCTCTTCCTTAAAGTTGGGCTTTCCATACTTTCAGAATAAACTTGAGACTCCTCATTCCTTACATTTGCACTCTCTACCATAAGGTATATATAGTTTCAAATAGTGTTTGGAATAAATGAGCCAGTGACAGGGTTTGAGATTTTAGACAGAAATGGGGTTTATTACCAGACTTCCTAGAATAGTGCATGGAATCCCTGTCCCACAAAAAAACCAGCAGCTGTAACCCAACAAAGAACTAGAAAAGGGGTGGTATGATGCTCATTGCATGCCCCCTACTCACGGGTGTGTGTGTGTGTGTGTGTGTGTGTGTGTGTAGGAGACGTGCCTCCATCGGAAATTCTGTGTGCTTTAAGTCCACCTGTGTTTAAAAACATCAAACCAATAATTACAGCTTCCATTTATTGCTCTATACTAGCTTCTGGCACTGTGCTAAGCACTTAATGAGCAAGTCTTTCCGAATCTTCTCAACAATGCAGAAGATAAATACAATTATCCCAAGTTTTATGACTTTGGAAACTGAGGAACAAGGTGATTAAGTAATTTGCCCGTAGTCCCACAGCTAGGTCAGTGGTAAAGCTGGAACTTGAACCTGATTATGGAATCTGCTCCATGGCTTTAGCCAAAGCCTACATGAAGTCTGAAGTAAGACAGAAAATAAGTTAAATATCTATCAAAGAGAATGAAAATTCCATCATCTCTCCCTGCCTCAGACCACTTTGCTTGCACCAGAACTGTTTTCTGACTTCATCAGTTCAATCATTTTCAAGCAAGGATGCAGGCCTCAAATCCCTTAATCAACTTCAAGTATATAGGGTTGCCAGACAAAACACAGGATGCCCGGTTAAATTAGATTTGCAAGTAAACAACATTTTTTTAGTATAAGTATGTCCCATTCAATATTTGGGACATTCTTATACTAAAAAGTTATCTGTTGCTCACCTGGAATTCAAATTGGACTGGGTGCCCCGTATTTTTATTTGCTAAATCTGGCAATACGTGGAGAAGAGGTCAGCTAGGTTCTAGACTGTCCTCATCTATGTGGTGTTAACAGCTTAGATCTCCATCTGCTGCTGGAAATCTTCACACATTTCATATTCAGCGTCCAGTGCTTCTGGCAGATCTTTTCTGAGGCTTGAAACAATTGCTTAGCCAGGTTAAGTAACTGTGGAAAAGTGCACATGGATTTATTGACCCATCAAATGGTCAGCAAGAGCCAAGTCCTCGTGCTACAGAGAGAGGCTAAGATTCCCACTGTCAGGGAATATGTAAGGTGGAAGAAGAGGCAGCCAATACAGGAGGAAAAGCAAAATCTGGCTGGCTGCACAAAAATGCCAGAGGTGGAATGAATTAGAGGATTCGCAGAGGCACCCCTAGAGGGCATCCTTGAACAAAATTTCCAGCGGAAGCCCCAGTTCAGATTTCCAAAGCAACACCCAGCAGAGATGGAAGGTTGCAACGCTTTGTTCTAAACAAAACAAAACAAAACAGTCCTTTCCTGAGTCCTTTCCTACTGCAGCTGGAAAAAAAGGCATGAAACCAGATAGGACTGCCTGAAACATAAGAATTTAGGACACTTTTCTGTCCATGTCTTCCTATCTTTGCCATTAGCTTCTCCTTTCTCGGCAGTTGCAGAGTTAGAGTAGGATTCCTTATCTTACTATCCCCCAGCTTATGTCTCTACCCACCAGCCTGATTATTTTCAGAAATATTAGTTGGTGGAAGTAATACATCATTGGGGGGGGGGCAAAATTAGTGAAGGAAGTCAAAACATACAGACTTCCAGTTATAAAATGTCATAGGGATGTAATGTACAGCATGGTAACTATAGTTAACACTGCATTTCAATATTTGAAAGTTACTAAGAGAGTAAATCTTAAAAGTTCTCATCACAAGAAAAAAAAATTCTGTAATTATATATGGTGACAGATGTTAACTAGGCTTCTTGCGATTATTTTGCAATATACCCAAATACCAAATCATCACGTTATACTTGTACACCTGAAACTAATACAAAGTTGTATGTCAAGTATACCGCAATAAAAAAAAGAAAAAAAGAAAAATAAACCAAGTAGCCTTTAAAAGACACAGGAAAAAGAAATAGCAATACATTAAATATATTTGAGTCCCTCCGATGTTCCAGACAGGTGCTACATTCTTTACAGCCAGTACTGCACCAGTCCTCACTACGACCCCGTGATAGCTTTTCTCTTTCCTAAAGAGTTATCTTCCAGGTCGCAATGGACACAGGTCACAGAGGAGAGAGAGGTCAACACAGGTCCCTGGATGAAAGGGGCCTGAGAACTGTGCAGTAGCAGGCCAGTCTTCAAGTCTATCCCTCCACTTTACAGATGAAGCTGAAGCTCAGAGAGGTAACTCATCCAGGGTCACACAGCAAGAGTGTGACCTGGTACCAGAGCCCAGGACTGCTGGCCCCCAGTCCATGGTCTTCACCAGTACGCTCTATGGCAGCTGTTCTCAACCCAGACAACTGGGGACACCTGCCAGTGTTCGGGGACATTTTTAGTTGTCTTCAGGGAAGGAAAGTACCACTGGTCTCCAGTGGGTCGAGGCCAGGGATGCGGCTAAACATCCCACAATGCACAGCACAGCCCCGAAAGCACAGAATTTTCCTGCCCAAAACGTCAGTAGCGCTGCCCATTGAGACACCCAGCTGTGTGGGCTGGAATTGGGGTCAGGGAACATGTGCTCTGGCTCTGACTTGAAACCAAAGGATTTGGGGTTAGACTTTTTCATTTAGAAAATGGTGCTACTAATCTAACCGGTCTTTAAGGACCTCACAGGCTCACGACATTTGCATTTGGTCAAAGTAATGGTTGAAACCTTCCAGTCAAGGTCGTACCTCATCACTTGTCTGTCCTGAGCGCCAGGGGTGGTTCCAGAAGAGTCGCTTCAGGGTATTTAGGCCGGAGAAGCCCTAAGACCCTGTGACCACCTTTCTTTGCCACCTGTCTCTGAGCGGACCCGGGCACTCGCACTCCAAACCAAGAGTGTAGGAAAGGCAGCTGTTTTTGAGCCTTAGTTTCCTCACATATTCCTTACTCTGGGCTTGTCTTGTCGGAGAGGCTCCCAAAGGCTGAGGGGACCGCGCACTTTCAAACGCCGCCGCGACGCCGGGGGTGGGGGCGGTGGGGGCGGTGCCGGGGGTGCGCCTGGGCGCGGTCCTTCCGGCCGCCGGCGGGCAAAGCGGGGCGGAGGGGCGGGGCCGCAGCCGGAGGGCGGAGGAAGGCGGCCGGCGGG